TGGGACTGAACCGAGCCTGGAGGTTTTACCCAAGAAGGACTGATGTTTCCAGCTCATCTGGACCGAATGATGTGTGGGATGATAGGAGGACACCCGGCTTTTGCTAGGAGTGCTTTCGTGCTCATGGACCACCTCTCCACATGTTCCCTCTTGGGTCGTCCCTCCCAACGGCCCGGCCATCGCCTCCGCATTGGCCATATGGCGGAAGATCACTGTGTTGCAAGTGATTAGCTGGTAGCCGTAAAGCACCACCTGGATGTTGAAAAGGTGGAGAGAGGCACGGCTGGGCGCGCTCATCTCCTCCTGTTCCCGCCACCACGACCTGAAACGCTTCTGCGATGGGATGGCAGGGCTTGGCACAGCTGAGAAAAGGTCCTCTCCCAGCAGGTCAGACTCTTGCTGTCTCACCTGGGTACACAGTAAACCCCGGCAACTCCATCCCTCGGGCCAGCGTAGAAGGTGCAGATGCTTCTGGTGCGTCTGGCACCAGAAGTTCCAAGGCTTCGACCACCTTGGAACCGTCGGTGTCAAAGCCCGGATGGTGTTTTTTGGGGTTTGAAGCTTCCCCTGGTCTTCGGGCGTCTCGGTCTTGGCTGTGGTTGGTGTCACTGAGCTGGGTTTCTGTTTATTTTTGTTTCCTGCGATCATTCATCATAAAGCTGAGTGTTGCTGACAGAAGGTAACATCTGCCTTGCATGGACTTCCCTCCCCTGTCCCTTCGTAGTGAAGTTGCCCCGAAGCCGCTCAGACTTTGTGTCGGGAGCGGCCGCCCTGCCCGTGTCCCCACCCTGACTCACTGACGGTGCTTTAAAATGACATCAGCGATGATGCGATGCGGGGCTTATCTGCAAGAGAGCTCAGCCGTCGCCTGACCCCGGCGGTGCCTCTCGCTTGGTTGAGAAATGCAGGTGATCCCATCGAACGTGTGCCTGAGGAGAGGATGCAGAGCCCCCGCGGTTTCGCCGTAGGGATGGGCAGAGGTAATCTGCTTCCTGACCTGAGGAGCGGGAAAACCTCGGCACCTTCTCCGCGGGGCACGGTGGGTTGGAGCGGTACCCGAGTGCTCGCTGGGGACGGAGCTGCATCGTTTTCGGATGCTTTCCCCTCCCCGGAGCGATGACACGGGTCATCCGTGTCGTTTTTCTACCTGTATGGCACGCTTAATTTCCATCGAAGAGAGGGGAAAAAAAAAGAAAAGAAACCTAAACGGTTCCAACCACGTGCCAAGGGCTCCTGTGTCCTGTTAATGAGCTGGTTACGGTGCCAGGGGGATGTCGGCGCGGGGAAAGAGCAGCCATCCAAAGCGCCTCGAAATGATGCCAGCAATAGCATCGGCGGGGAGGACGGAGCGGCTGTGAAGCCTCCGAGGTAGGGGATGGGCGGTGGCGGGAGAGGAGAAGACACGCGTGGGGAGGGTGGACACCCTCGCTGCTCCGAGAGAAGGAAAAAAGCCTCAACGCCGATGCGTGGATGGGCGGCAGGAGCCGGGTGCCAGAGCCCACGGACCAAATTAGCTGCAAGCAGCTGCCTCGGCGTAGCCAAAGGCTGCGAGGTCTCGGGTTGCTCCGACGCCGGAGCTAAAACTGGATCGGCCTTCGGAAAAAGCGGGCGAGATGCCGAGAAGCAGGAGGAGGAGCGAGGGCCAGGCTGCGGGAAGCCCAGGCAGGGAAGTCCTTTGACCGGTTGCTTTTTCTGCTCCAGCTCCAGGACTGTGAATGTGAGAAGCAAGCAGGAATAACTTCTCCTGGTTTATTTTTTTTTTATTCCCGTGGAGGATTAGCCTGGCGGCTAATACGTCTTTTAACTCGTGAAGCGCTTTAGAGGAAACCACGCCAGGAGTGCGTCTGCGAGAGAGAAACTGAAAGTGCCGAGCGGGGAGAGCAGCTGCCCTCCTGATTTCAGCCGTCGGCCGGCTCAGGGCCGTCACCGCTCTCCCTGGCTGCAAACAGCGGGGGGGGGTCTCCCGGCTTCTCGGCTTGGAGGAGTATTTAGGGGAAAATATAAGAGCTCCGGGGCTGTGCAGATTCCCGTCCTGGAAGGCAGGAGGTTTCAGCTCTTCGGTCGGACCGTTTGAAGCCAGGAGGAGCAACCCAGCAGGTGAGAAGATGGGTGAAGCCGAATTACCCATCAAAATCGGGTGGGAGGGAGCGCAGTCTCCCATCTGACGGCTTCCAACTAAAATAAATTCATCCGAGCGTCGTGCCTCCCGCCCCGAGCAGGCTCTTCGTGCTTGCAGCCTGCACGAAATTAAATTGCAGGCATACCGTAAGGATCGAATTAAACTTCTCTCCATGCAGAGCTTTGTCGCGAGCAGGCAAATATTTCGCGGTGCTTTAAAGACTCTCGTTTTTCTATTGTTCCGTATAAAAACCCGTTGCCAGGCTGGGCTTCCCCCAGAGCGATTTCCTGGCTCGTTGGTTATTAACGCAGCTGCGGGGCTGTTTTTTTCTTTTGCTTTTTAGCTGAGAAGTGCCGGATTAAGACCCAGCACCTCGCTCTCTTGGCGTCTGAAATAAAAGACGAGGCTTTTGGAGGCTCTGTGAGGGGGGTGACCATCCGAAGCGGGGCTGGGCTGCGCAGCATTGGGTGCTTCTGTGGCTGAATAAATAGTGATAATCTCGCCCGAGAGCTGCCTGGAGCCCGTCC